CCTCGGGGTGTTCTCACAGTCAGAGGAGTCAACACTGACAAGCTGGGTGCCAAGGGTTCAAGGGGAAGGAAGGGGGTGCACAGGTGGAGCCAGGGGTCTTTCGAATGGGGGACCCAGAACGGTAGGTTCAAGTCTCTGCACTTTTCGTCTACACCCACAGCATGTACAACAGGCAGCGAGAACCTGGATGAAAAAAGTGGGCTTCGGTTAATGATATTTTATCACTATTGGTTCATGAATGTTAACAAACGCACCACCATTGCGCGATGTCAGTAATAGGGGAAATGGGCGAGATATGGAGACTGTCTACTTACTTCCTACTTATTTTTTTCTGTAAACCTAACTGCTAAAAAAAAAAAAAAATCTGTCTCGTAAAAACAAAAACAAAAACAAAAACATGCTAAGAGGCCCCGTGCAGTGGGAGCCACCAGCGTTCCTCGCTTTTACGCCCCATCGTCACCCGACCCTTGTTTATGCACCTGGCCTGAGGACTCGGAGCCGGAGCCTCGGGAGCTGGGCTCTTGTCCTAGCTGTCCCCAAAGCGCCGGCTCCCAGCATCAGCCCCTGGCTTTGCCAGGCGCAGGGCCCCCGGCGCGGGCCCGAGCCAGGGATTTATGAGGCCACAGCGCCCCCTGCTGGCCCCACTCGACCGCCCGGAGCCTGGGCCACGCGGGACTCCCCGACTGTGCCTCGCTTGCGCCCGGTGCTCGTCCTGCAGGCGATGTTCAGCTTGTCACAGGTAACGACACGGAAAAGCTCGAACGTTCGTGACTTTATTGCGGAAAAGCCCCGCAGTGCCGGAGCCGGGGGACCCAGTCTGGCTGCTGCAGCGGGGCAGCGCGGGGTCCCAGCAGGGCGCAGCGGCGGGCACGCGACCAGAGGCGGCGACTCCTCGGTCAGGGCCCAGCACGGGGGCCTTACGTGATGACAGTGGCTTACTAGTCCTGAACACCTTACTGGGGCTTAGTACTCCGGGTGACCGTGCGAGGTCACTGTTACAGCCCTCTTTACAAATGAGGCGGCACAGAGAGGCCGCGTAACTCGCCCGAGGGCACACAGTCGGTGAAGGAGTCCGTCCGGGGACCCTCTGCGAAGCTGCCTCTGCCCGCTGGCTTCCGGGTCTGAGAAATGGGCACAGCCGACCCCCTCGCTTTCGCGGCCCGTCTGGGCTGGCACGGGAGTCGGGGTCGTCCGCGCAGAGGTGGGCATGGGGCACAGGCGGGCGCGGCTGGCTAGGGCTGCAGCTGACCCTGTTGTCCCACGTTCCTGTTTACCCCCACCAATCACGCCCCCTAGCACCAGGTTCTTGGTCAGGCAGTTTCCTCCTTCCAGTACCCTGGTGTGACCAGGTCCTGGAGGAGGTCAGAAGCCCCACAATTTCTGGAGCCCCCACTGTCTGGGACAACAGAGTTCCACCTC